TTTTGCAGCTAGAGAGTAATGTCACCACCAGGACATTGGCACTGTCTTAGCCCTCTGGGGCTGCTGTAACAAATGCCATGGTGGGTGGGGGCCGGAGCAAACACGTTTATGCTCTCCCTGTTTGTTATTGTTGTTATGTGCCATAGAGTCAGATCTGACTCATAGCGACCCCTCCTTGGGTTTCCGAGGCGGTATCACTACAGAAGCAGATGGCCCAACCTTCCTTCTGAGGAGTGGCTGGTGGGTTTGAACTGCCAGCCTCTCACTGTTTAGGAGGCTACAGGCTGAAATTAGGGCCCTGGCTCCTGGGGACGCTCTTTCTCTGTGGGCTCTGGGGGAAGGTTCCAGCGTCTGTGGGCTCAGCCTTCCTTGGAGCTCTTCACGTGTTGTGGCATCAGTCTCCCCCAGGGTCTAGGAGGCTCTCACCACAGGGACCCTGCGTCGAAAGGCTTCCCTCTGCTCCTGGCTCTTTCTTCGTGGTACTGAGGCCCCTGTCTGCTGGCTTCTCTCTCCCTTGTCTCTTGTGCGATAAAAGGTGGTGCAGACCACGCCCCCGGGAACCTCTCCTTGCATCCATCAGGGCTGTGACCGAGGAAGGGTGTTGCATCCCTAACCTTGCCTCATTAACATAGCAAACACAAACCCACCCAGTGCTCATGAACATAACCTAATCCCGCCTCGTTAACACATGGCCCAAAGCCAGACCCACTGCGTGTGGTCAAGTGTGACTCACAGTGACCCTACAGTGAGCCTGAAGGACAGGACTGCCCCAGAGGGGTCCAAGGGCTGTAACCTTGACAGGAGCAGACTGCCCCTTCTTCCTCCTGCAGAGGAGCTGCTGGGTTCAAACCACTGACCTTCTGGTTAGTAGCCAAGTGCTTTAACCACTGTGCCACCAGAGGTCCTCATTAACACAGAGGTCAGGATTTACATCCCAGATGGAGGTTGATTACATCATATCACGTTGTGGAGGAGTACACCATTACATAACTGCCAAACCACTGAGCACCTCGGCCCAGCCAAGCTGACACATACATTTTGGGGGACACAATTCAATCTGTGACAGCAGTGATATTGTGTGTGTAAGGGTGCATACATGTATGTGTGTGCACATGTGTGTCGGGGTGTGCAGCAATGTGTAACTGTGTAGGTGTGTGTTTGTGTGTGCGTGTGCAGTGTGTCCATGTGTGTAGGGGTGTGTATAGCTGTGTGTAGCAATATGTTTGTAGCTGTGTGTGTAGGTGTGTGTAGTGTGTGTATGTAGGTGTGTGTTGCTATGTGTAGGGAGGTGTGTGTAGCTGTGCATGTGTATGTAGCTGTGTGTAGTGGAATGTGTGGAGCTGTGTGTGGAGCTCTGTGTGTGTACACGTGCATGTGTGTGGCAAAGCCTCTTTTGCATCCACAAACCCCAGGGTCTTGGGAAGCGGCAGACGGAGCCACACTCAGGCTTCTGAAGAACATGCCGCTCACCCTTGGCCCCCCGCTGGCTGGTGGAGCCCTCCGAAGCTTTCCTCCGTTACTTCCTCCCCAAGCCTCACTACTCAGTGTCTGCGCAGGCTTGGCACATGCTCTGTCCCTTCGTGTGCCCGCGTCCACACCTGTGTGGTGCACCCGCGTCCACACCTGTGTGGTGCACCTGCGTCCACACTTGTGTGATGCACCCACAGGCCCGCTCTGGCACCCCTGCTTTTCAGGGGCTCCTGGCAAGCGGGTCACTCACTTGGCCAGCAGCGAGCCAACCTGCGTTCGAGCTGCCCGGAGCTAAGTGGCTTGGGGCATCGACTCTCCCTGCAGGCGATGGGCATGGTTGACACTGTCCTCCTCCACCTGGCAGAGGGTGCGGGCAGAAGGGCCCACCCTCCCTGCACCCACCACGGACTGGAGTCACCGACTCCTCTCCCTAGGAGCTGGGGCAGGCAGGATTACGGCCCATGCCCAGTGCTGCATTTGAGTTTTCAATTTTATTTTTCTTCCTGGGCAGAAAGACATCTGTCTACAATGGGATCATTGCAAATTGAGTGAAAGGAATTTTTGAGCCAAGTTTTTGGAAGCAGTTGACTTCCGCGAATCCTCCCGGGAGTCCACTTCGTAACAAACATTGCATAACCAGCTGTGCTGGCTGCCCCACAAAATGGACGTTTCTGAGGGTGGAGAGTGCGGTGGGGGGCCGGGGTTGTGTTCTGGTCTCTGAGTCCCCATGGGATGGGAGGGGATTGGGCCTCCGAGCCCTTGCTGTGGGGAACAGGCTCAGGGAGCTGGGGTGCAAGGGTGCTGGCCCCCTCTTGCTGGGGCTCCAGACAGCACCATGGCTACTCTCCAGGCCCTTCCAGTGACGACTCCTCGGGACGCCGGTGAGGCCTCTTTGCTGTTCCCTGCTGTCCCAAGGACACACCCTGTGACTGGCAGCACAGGCTCTTGAAGCCTGAGAAAACTCCAGGCCCTTAAGCCCCTTTCAGGTCCTTCTTGTATGGGAAGAAGAAAACAGCTGTTCCAAACCCGGGTTATAAACTGGCACTGCATTTGACATGTAATGTTACTCCCAGCAGGGGCTTTGACCACACAGAGTCCCACATTGCCCTGTGCAACGTGTGTGGTCTCCACAGACATGCACAGAACTTGTAACACACGTGAATCTCTCAGACGTTATGGAGAGCTTGGTGAGGAGACACAAGGCCACAGTCTGTCCTTCCGCCAGCATCCCTCCATGGCTGTGTCCACAGGCACACGTGCAGGTAGCAAGGTGCATTGTGTGAATAGGGTGGTTCTGACCGCTCCTCTCAGCATCTCTGCGGTCTCTCCCCTGGGGACAGGCGCTGTGGGAGGTGAGGTGGCTGCTGTTATCTCCAGCTTTCCCAGAGAGTCCCACAGTGGCTAGCGCAGCACACCCCGTGCACACACGTGCACACACAGTCCACCCTCACGCACAGAAAGGCCGGTGGGCACAGACACTGGAAGAGAGGCAGGCAGAGCTGCCGGGGGTCGGGGCTGCCATCGGCCACCTCTGGGCTGTTCGGGCCTTGGTGGCCCTTTTTGGGAGCTGGCCCGTGGAGCTGTCAGCATGGCTGCCTGCGGCAGGTGGTCCACCTTCTAGAGGGCGTCCTCCTCGGTCCTCTCCCGCGGCCCCTGATGAGCCTGCTCCCTCAGGCTAGCATTTTAGCACAGACACTTCGTCCACAGGCATCTCTATCACACCCCCTCCCCCCCGGGTGGGTCAGCGCTCACTGACGACTTGCAAGCAGGTTTCTGGAAGGAGACACCATCTGTGCCTGGCTGTGCTCACGTGATGACCACAGACAGCAGAACCCTTCAGAGAGCGTGACCCGTGGGGCTGGACAATCCATCCTAGGCATCTGGCCTACAGGCAGATCAGCACAGGGGCGTCAGAATGGCTGCCTTTCTGCTTGGAATGTAGAAATGTGGAGAAAACCCTCAGAACCAGCAACGGGGGGTTGTTGAAAGAAATTTTGGCTCCTGTGGAGAATATAAAGAGCCCAGGTGGCACAGTGCCTAAGCCTCAGCTGCTAATGGAGAGGTCAGCGGTTTGAACCCACCAGCATGGAAGGAACAAGGAAGTCGGCTTCCACAAAGATTGCAGCCTTGGACTCCCTGTGGGGCAGTTCCACTCTGTCCTCTAGGGGCGCTGTGGGTCAGAATGGACTCCAGGCAGTGGGTGTGGTTTGGGCTTTGCTTCCATGTGATTGACAGCCTTGGAGACCCTGTGGGCAGTTCCACTCTGTCCTCTAGGGGCGCTGTGGGTCAGAATGGACTCCACGGCAGTGGGTTTCTTGGTTTCGGGCCATACATTGCTTTTAGGAGAGAACTTGCTTTTTAGGAGGGAATGCCTGTAGATCGTGAGTGACTGCTCAATGCCTCTCCTCTCCTCAGGGGTGACATTCTCATTTTTCTGGAAGAGACAAGGAGCGCAGACCCGGCCGGCCTCGTCTGCCTACGGTGGGCAGGTGATCTCCAACGGGTTCAAGGTCTGCTCCAGGGGTGGTGAAGGCTCTGTGGAGCTGTACACGCGGGAGAACTCCATGACGTGGGCGGCCACCTTCAGTCCCCCAGGTGAGTGCATCCTCAGCCCTGAGGCTCAGGGAAGCCAGGGCCTCGGCCCCCCAGGGTGGGAGATGTACCAGGAGGGGCGAGAATCGTCCTTGACCAGGGAGCTCACGGAGCAGGTCAGGGTACCATAGCATGTGGCCTGCGCTGACCCAGGGCACGTACGAGCTCCTCCACTAAGCTGAGCCTGTCTTCCTGTGTGTGAAGGGGACACGATGCCAATAGCGTGGATCTCACAGTTTTGGGGAAATTAAGTGGGACAGTGCAGTTATGGTTCCCCTCCCCCTGCTTCCTCCTCCTCTCTCCACCCACCTTCTCCTTTCTTCTTCCTTCTCCTCTCGCTCCTTCATAGTGGTTTAGATTTGGAAACATCTAAGAGCTGATAGTGAACACTGTTGGAAAGGGAGCCTGGAGCCCCAGAGGAAGAAAGATGGGGGTGGGAGGGAGAGTGCTTGCCTGGGGCACGTGTGTGGGGAGGAGGACGGAGCCGAGGTGGGAGGCGTCAGCACGGCCTGTCTGGAGATTGTTCCCCGGGACACAGCGTGGCCCGAGGCCAGAGATGTTGAGGAGGCCGTGGAGATGGGGGTCAGCCAGAATGGACCCTGGGGAACAGGGCAGGAGATGTGTGGCAGAGCAGGGCAGCACTGCAGGAGGCCCAGTCGAGGCTGAGCCAGAGAACTGAAGGGCAGAGGTCAGGGGTCAGGGGTAGGGGCGACCGAACACAAAGGCTCCCTCC